ACAGTGGATGCGATTCGAGTTCGTTTACAAATCTATCAGATTCGAAATCGAATAGTTCAAGAATTTCGAATCAACAATGTTTCGATTTCGAATCGATCGCCTATTTTATTTGCTTCATTTATATCGCCCGCGCGATCAATTATTCTTATCTATAATAAATAAATATTTTTATATTATAAATATTTTTTATATGTATGTAATGTATCCATGTAGATTAATACAGAAAACGTTCGAAAGCATTCGAACTATTCGTGTATACACATATTATTAATTACATACTTTCTAGTTCAAAATGTCACATAAGATCATAATTCTTTGTAATAAGATGTAAATCGAAAACAGATCTTCAGTTTGTTTAAATCATTGCGTAAAATAATGTAATTCATACATTTTGATATTTATTACGTTTAAATTAACATGTAATATAAATCTGGGAAAATTTGATTCAGATTCGATTCGTATTCGAATTAAAGAGATTCGATTCGACCATGCAAATGCTTGATTCGCACACCTCTAATAAAAAAAAAAAAACAGAATCAATAAAAGATTTTGTCAAAAAATATTTTTCTTTCCTTCCTCGACGCATAAATGCTGTTTATGCATTCCACGATTCCCTAGAACCCACTCTATTAGTGTAGACTATTAGATAGATTGTGTGTTTAATTTTGTCGCAGAAAGAAGATAATAAATATCAGGCTTGTCCCGATAAACTCGGGAATTGCTAATGGATCGTCGCCTTCGCCGCGTCGCGCCGCGCGAACGAAGACTCCGTGGCGCGCGGGTGAAATGCATGATTGAATATTACGTGGCGGCAATGCAACGCGTCGCCTACGTCGCTTCTCACGTACCTACATACCTGCATCCACCTACGCGCGCCGCTCGTAAACTCTCGCGTTTTACGTCAAGCCGGCACCGTCGTCGTCCGTCGATCGTCGGGGAATCCGGCACGCGTGAAAAACTTCCGGAGCGAACGCGTTCCTCCAGGCTTATTCGATCTGTTAATAACCCGGAGCTAGATTGGAATGTCCAATATACGTATTTCTTCATTTATGTACTACATTTTTCGCACGATTTTCTCCCTTATCGGAAATTCCTCGTAAGTGCATCGAAGGCGGAGGAGAGGAGAATCTTTTGTTCAATGAAATTGCAACGCGTAAAGTCAAATTTTGGAACGCGGTCAATGATGATGAATAATACAATTGAAGTATGAAGTATCATTCATACATAACTTACATTCGATTTATGTTATATATATGCATTTATTTTTGTCGGATTTCCAAAAATTTAATTTATCTCATCATTTTATATATTCAAGCACAACAGATCATTATAACGTTAAAATGAATCATGACTGATTAAAAAGTGATTCTTAATGATCATTTCGGAGCCATTTTAACGCCATTTTGTGCCATGATTACTTTTTTTGTTCTTGAATGTACAGTTTATGTTTGGAAAAATTAGAACTTGTGCGCGCCGAAGGGACAGGACGTCTAATAATACGATTCGTTCGTTATCGAAGGATCGTTGTGGTTATACGCGTGTGTAACTGCCGGCGCGGCTTAACGACAGGACCATACGTTACATGTAAACACGTGGGTGTGCGTGTGTAATCGACGTTGTAATTGGTCGATCGCGCGAACGTTTCTGGCAGCGATTCGACGCATTGCGCCGAACGATCGCTTTTCTCGTTAGGGTAATTGCAGACGTAATGACTGATATTACGTGTGATACAAATGAGCAAACTCACCGGTACAGATTTAGAACATTTAATTTGCCAGAAGCTGGCAATTTTTACAACGCGGTTCTCAAAATAACAGTGTTATTGATAGACAATTGGTAAACAGGACATTCTGTAAATGTTTGAATCAAATTTGCGTGAAAGCTGTACAGATGCAGTTGACGAAGTTTTTTTAGATAGTATCTTATTATGAAGATAAATCAATGAACAACATTTTGTGAGAGCATAAAAGGAAATAATTAATGATATGTATATGTCACACATTTGTAGTTGGAATAAAATGGAAAATAGATATCGAAAATGGAAATTTAGTATCTTCATTTATGTAATCTTTTATGAATACAGATATCGAGGTTCTGCGAATAGAGACTATATCTCGGGGTAAAGATTTCACAGTGTTTCGGTATATGCAACACGAATATTCCATACGTTAATCCGAGCTGTCATGAGAAGACAATGACACGATAAATGTGAAAATGTCGAGGGTAAGTTCACTCGAAAATGGTACATCGCCCTTCCCGCAGAAATGCAAACCTGTGCGCGAAGCCGATCGAAACGGGCGATCGATAAGATGTACGCGAATAAACGTACTTTAATATTGGTAGACGCCCTCGTTACCCGTAGAATGTAGGTTAACCACGAAGTTAAAAGCAGAGTGCGGTATTTTATATTCCGAAGAGCGGCGCTAACTTTTTAATATTATACCCTAGAATGTAGCTGGATAGAACTGGCGTGTTACACGATGTTCATTTCTGTTTAATAACATGACAGCGATTCCCATTTTTCTTAATAAGACGTTTAATAACATCATCAAAAATGCATGCAAGTGCGTTTTTTTATTTACATTATGATATAATAAGTAAAATAAAAAAATAACATCTTCCTCGAGAATCTTCTTTTTATCAATATTGATTCCTCCGTCGCAACATAAATGTTGATTCAAGATTAATCCAAAATTAAAAATAAGCAAATACGCAATTTAAAATCTAATAAACGTTCAATAACCGTGGTAACCATTGGAAGTGGAAGTGACTCGCATTCGTTAGATCTATCTAACCAGCGATATGGATCAAATTCAGTAATTTAGTTACAAGAAAGGATTGACCTGCCCGAAAAAGGGCCGACATTTTTTAATTATTATAGAAGTTATATAAAGATGTTGTTTTTTTTTATTGTGGAATGAAAAATGAATCTAACAATATATTATAGATAACGAATGGAAAGTGGAAAAACATTGAATTGTCTAGCACTGTTCAAGAAGAAATTTTTTATGGAAAACGATAATTTACTATAGCAGTAGTAAATACCCAGTATACACAGGCATTGAAACTGCTGTTTTTCTAATAATTTCAATTATCTCAGTGGAGAATAGAAATATTTTCTATAGAGAGAAAATAATAATGCACTGAAAAATAGAATCTAGCTATGTACAGACAGATATAGAATTAGTATCGCAGATATTATTACAAAGACCTTTTTGCGTGAAAAAAATATTTTTAAAATGACATTTAGATAATAGAGAAATATTAGGACGATGATATGCGAGCGATATAAGTATATTCTGAGAAGCCTAATTCTGAATTTATAAATATTTGAAAAATATCACACATAATAATTTATTTTGTCCGTTAAAGTCTACTAAAGTCTATAAAAAAAATCGCGAGAAAGCGTGTCAGTCCTGACTTAACGGATTAATATACAATTGCAGCCCATATTCTTATAAAAACAATTTTTTTCTAATAGTCGTATCATAGATGAACCAAAATGCATTTTTGTAAAGTATAAAACACAAGCGCATGTCTAAAGTATTTTGTGTGTATAACGATTTAATTCATATTTCTTCCAAATTCAAGATCAATTGTGTAAAATTACAGATTCGCAGAAGAGCGATCTTGCGCGCATCGAAACACGAAACCTGGCGCTATATGCAAGAACACCGGCGTCGCGACGCATCGCAGTTTCCATTATCAGCTCCTCCCTCCTCCCCCGCTCCTCGCTCCTACGTGGTGCGACGCACCTTTTTGGCAACCGGCTTCACTGACGCGGGCGCGGGTCGTCGGCGACTCCGTTTTTGCATCGGGCGGCTTTATACGAACACACGGAGAGGAGAGACCGAAAGTCGGAGGAAAGTCGATGACGGCGATGACGATGCGTGTGCGAGCGTGTGAGGCCAGCGTGCGCGAGTCAGCGTGTGAGGGAAGAGACAGGCGGAAAGTGGGACGGGGGACGACGACGACGACGACGACGACGATGACGACGATGACGACGACGACGACGACGACGACGACGAGCGTGCGCGCGCGGGCGCGCGCGCGAGTGCGCGAAGCGGCGAGGCGGCGGGCAGGGGTACATACAGCGTGCAGAGCGAGGGGAGCCGCAGCGTGCGCGCATCGGCGCGCACTGCACAGTGCATGCACCTCCGAGAGGTGTGGGTGAGACGCGCGTGTGTGTTAGCGCGAGCGTGTAACTGGGTCGCGGGTTCGACAACTTCAGCCAAGGCTGCTCGTGCAGTGGTTCTCGATCCTCTTCTCCTCGCGACAGCGTTCGATCTTGTATCGAACCGCGCCGCCGCCGCCGCCGCCGCCGCCGGCCGCGCCGGCGGTAACACGGCGAGAGCCGCGATATTATTGTTACTGCGCCGTATTGTTTTCTTTATTGCTATTGTTTCCGCGCCGTCTCATTTAAAGTTGCACCGAATATAATGCAAAATATACTTTGTATAGAAATAAGTTCACGGTAATTGTATGTTACTTGTTATTAGTCGTATACAAATAGGGTATAGATACGCATATGTGCTGTAAGATATGACACTTGCGAGTGTAATTTAATATAACGGAGTATGCGTTATGTGGAATACAAAAGACGGTGCCGTTATGTTATATAAAATGTAAAATATAAATCTGTTATAAATAAAATATAAATTGTGAGACTGATGCGAAATAGGACAGGATATATTTACAATGTGAGCGTTATGTAATTTTAATGAGCAGAGGCTTTACGTTGAATGAAATATGTTATTTTCGATATATTTTGATATATGATAATTTCGAGATAACAATTAATACAATTCTATATACATTAACTCTAAATATTAGATACTTATTTATTTAAAGCGAAAAACATGTAAACAATGGCAAACGGTATTAAAAAAAAAATATTTTTTACTCCAAAACAAGTTTTTCTAAATCTTTTTTCAATTACATTTAATACTGCGAGTGATGATTCGATATTTCTATATATTACAGTTGTGTGTGCAGGTGTATTATAATAACAATTACAATATAATATATATTTAAACATTTTAATTTTAGAAGACAATATTTATGATAGTTTGATTTTAAAGAACGAAGAGTTGGTCATTCAAATTTTTCGTTTTTTCAATCGCGCGTTTCAATTCGACGACTCCCGCTAGATTATGGGATATTCTTGCGTGTAGCCTGAAGGCAAAAATGGCAGGTGTCATTGCGGGATTGCGATGGAATTATGCGACAGGTATTACGCTATACCACGTATTCTCCGCTTAGTAGCTGTCTCTATTCGACGTCTATCAGACAGATGGGAAATTACTTTTCTATTAACCTTTTCTCTCTCTCTCTCTCTCTCTCTCTCTGCGATAGCTTTTTGTTTTAAGATACGCGTCCTTTTAATCTTTATGTAAGTACAACAGCGAAATTAAAAGGTCGCAAAATAATTCCAATAAATTTTTCATAAAAACGATCTTATTACGGGAAGAAGTGTCTTCGACTTCCTGCCGGCCATAGCTACTGGAAGAACGAGGATATATCAATTACTAAAGATTTGAGAACAACCGGTGCTATTCTATAATTTACAAGCAGAAGGCAGGAAATGTTGAACATATACATATATAGGATATTCGTTCTTTCACCTCAGAGTTATAGAACGGCATCGGCCGTTCTCGTTTCACAGTATTGATCTAATGTTGGGTATTAAAAAGCTGTGACACACACGATCGAAAATTCCGAAGCGTATTGTTATTTCAACTGATCGAGCTTTATACATAGTCGCAGGCTTCTCCTTTAAAGCGGCGACATCGGCATATCAAATTATCGTAATTAAGATATTGTAATTAAGAAAATGTTTATCATTCTTTCTCTCACCTGTTTCTGATTCTCACCTATGATTCACAGGTGATTCACATCAAGTGTGAGCTTTTTGAGTCCTCGCACCAAAAATTAAATCATGCACACATCCCGTACTATTTTAATGGAATTATTGCTTCTGGTAGTATTGTGTTCTGATAGATTTGTATTATGACATTGGACATATCAAAGTGACGTAATAACCCTCGAGAATGGACCTTTACCTTTGGAAAAAGACCAACGCTCTAAGCATTCCTATTAATCGCCATAACTACTGATAGGAAACTCACCGGCGGTAACAACGCGATAACGATCGCGAGCTCTCTCTTTCTTATGATTTTTTTGTAGTATCGTTTAAAGTCTCCACATGCTACGCAATACCTCTGCCACGGCCCCAATAAAAAAGACAGTCACGTTGCGTACTTTGCACGTAAATAAGCACCAGGACGAGATCCGACTATCATATTCACGCAGGATGCGATTACATAAACCGTCTTTCTCTCGGCTCTCCCTTCTTCTTCCTCCCCCTCGCTCCCCTTCTCACACGCGTTCACCTATTCTTGCTCCTTCTTCTGTTCTTCCCATCTAATTTATTTGAAAGCATTAAAAATCTCATTAAAAAATCAAATGAATTACTTTTTCGACATTTCTCACTTTAGGCGCGTCTATTACATTTGATATAATATTTTATTATATTATTATGAATTATATGTCCTTTTATCTATACTTGCGCTATATATTTCCTGAATGTAATACATTGTTATTTTTAAATTAGTTAATTTCTTTTGGATTAGGTCTTGTATAATGAAGAGTTTGTAATATTATTATTAATTAATTCATTATTACGTTAAAGATTTTATAATGTTAATTTTCATAATGTTTATTTTCGTTAATTTAGTCTATTGAGCGTTTACTATAATATTTGAACAAAATTGTATTACTTAGATATTTATATTAATAATTAGTATTATATAACATTTATATATTTTATATAATGTTTATTATATATGTATTTAATTTAACAATTTGAATAGAAACATTATATAAAATATTTAAATATATATACATAATAAATATTATATATTTATATTTTTTTACGTAACCCGTAACACATATTTGTTGCTAAATTTTTTATCAGTATAATAAATAAATCTCTATCTTTACTTTTGTTCATGAAACATTTATATTAAATACTTTGATATTTTTTCTGTGTATTTTCCTCCGAGTTTAAAGTTCTCGATGGAAAGTCCTAAAAGATATACAGGCCACAAACTCTATGCCGTTCTGCTCTATTCTACTCTCGCTCTCTCTCTCTGCGGCGCGTGCAGGCAGGAAAATACGAAGTTTGCGTGCTCGAGCGCGAAATCGCAACGACAATGCGCCGCGACGCGGACATCGAGTAAACACGACGCTCCCCGGAATCGATTTCTCCACCCTGCGCAACCCCCGTTCCGCGCCGTCCTCTCCGCGCTTCCGTTACAAGCGTGCATTATCCATCGTACAGCTGAAAGCTAAATCCACCCCCGCGGTCGTCTGCTGCGCTGAAAAATGCGTGTTAACGCATTTGGAGAATTTAGCCCTCTCTCGAGCGTTATAGCATCTTAAAAGAGAATACGAATTCGCCATTTATTAGAAACGAAATGGAAATTGATGTAGCGTTTCGTCCTTTTCGACTTATGTTTTATCTCACTAATTGTAAGTTGCGGCGAGATTCATAAAAATATAATCTGTTACTGTAAATACATCTCATATAGAAATGATCGACAGCTTCGTCATTTAATTTGGGAAATATATTGAGAAAATATCGTAAAGCTACATTTATCCTAAATTATATTATTGCAAGTTATAATTCTGATTTTCTGTATATATTTTCGTATCAAATTCAATCGATAAAAGAATCCTATCCTTAAAATTGTTTCTTGCATCGAAATTATTTCTGCGAAACTGAAAAATTACCTTTGCTGTATCTTGATAAATAATATTTCAAAAATAGAAGAAATTTCATTTATTCTGATACATTTCAATACTTTGTTTTCGAAATTTTATAACCGCGAACTCGATCGATTTCTCAATCTTATGGGGATATTTAAAGCTCCACCTTGCCCTGCTCTCTGTTTCCGTCTCTCCCCTCCCTCCCTCCTCTCCCCCTCCCTCTACAGTTCTGGCAGCAACCCTCTGCGAGCCACCCTCTTCGTAACAGTGTATTACGTAATGTTCACGTTAAACTTGGACATCATTTTCTCCGATAAATCCTGAGACGATGTTCCTTCAGTGAAAGTTTGTGTCAACATTATCTTTTCTCATAAACAGCATACATATAATAAGTTTTTTAATAAACAAGTTTCCAATAAGAATCATTGCATAATGGATTACTTAAATATAAGTAATGTATAATTAAAATTTTTTGTTGATTAACAAATTAAGAAAAAAATACTATTTTTATTCTGTCTTTGATTTAGCAATCAGCCTTTTTTAAGGATTAATTTTAATTTTTTGAATTCTTTAATGTTACAGCTTCATTAATAATTCTTCTTAGAAGAAATTCTAATGCGAAAGATTTCTAATTCTGCATTAGGTATATGTAAATTCATATCATATTTTGTCACATTTATATATACAAAAATTATTCATTTTCTTACATATACTATCATCAGAGAGATTTTGAAGAATTTATTAAAAACATTTAGAGCATTAACATGACATTTTTATTTATAAAAAAAATTTTTTTCTCCTATTATTTGATATATTTCTTTTCAACGTAAGGTGCGATGCTGCGTCAAAGGAAAAGATAAGTGTGCAAAGAGTAACTCGGTATACAATCGGGCTCGACTTTCCGATGCTCTACTGGAGATAGATCGGCGTTCAGTTGCAAGGACACTGCTAACGAGCCTAATGATACAACGCTCGTACAGGTATGTCCGAACAGATAGGTCTAAATCGGTAACGATGTCGGTGAGCCAAGACGCTCGCAATGTTGTCCTACATCCGATCGCGTTGCAACTCACCGAGACCGTACGGTCGATCGATGATCTTCCCTTTTCTTGCGCTCCCTCTTCACGCCCTTAATCGATATCGAGAGGACTCCATTAAGCGAAATAATTTCAAGCGGATCGCGCATTTACTTTGATCGGGTATATCATCGATCTTTAAAGTCTCGCTAATAAATGCTCTTATTTTCCCGAGAGAGAAGTATTGCGTATTCTTTTAAATATTTCAATGAATAAAATTCTAAAAAAAAAAAAGGAAATGAAATAATAGAGCTAAAGCTATGCTCAAAGAAAGAGTTGCTCTCTTATAGCGTAATATTAGATTTTATATTTTACATTGTAAATTATGCGAGAATTCCAGTAAAAGTACCTAAAGCACACGCGATATCGGGATATCCCGCTTTAAGAGATTCGCGCTAGCTCCCAAGGCGCATGCACGTCGCTTCGTAACTTCCTCTCCTCGAGGATCTCCCGACTCGTCGACACATTATGTCAGTGATTCCCCACATTTTCAATGCACGAAAGCACAGGAAGTAAAAACTACACTGAACTCGTTCATGTCTCGCAAGGCATTACCGGGCTTTTTCCATATCATATCCTGCGATTTGCAAATCCTCCTTTTGCCGCCAGAATTTCTAGTTCTGTTAGAATCTTGGTAGTTTTGCGATTTTTTTAATCTTACGCTATTTTGAATACTTATAAGTATAGCAAAATGAGAGATTGCTTCATTACAGGCTTTATAAAATAATTGGCTTCTAAAACAATTGATTTTTTTGTGGCATTTCCGTTTTTATATCATTAAGATAACGCGTCGGGCAGATAAAATACAATTTTTATAAGATAAACGTAATTAGTATCAAATGTGGAGAATTAATGTGAGAAGTAATGAAAAAAACTTAAATTAATTAGAGAATAATAGAGAATTAAGTAATAGAAAAAAAATTAAACAGAAAGTTTCATTACAGAAGTTTCTAATGGACTTCACAATGGCAATATCTGTTTTCGTAAAAACATAAACATTAGAACTAAAAAAAAAATAAAATAAAATACACAAAGGGCTGCATCAAAATTTAACAACGGCCTCTTCTCTCACTAGCCCCAATCGTTTCACTGTATTTACGAAAAGTCGGCGGTATTCACGAGTTGGAGATTCTTGCACTCCATTAACACGGGAGCGTTTGCATCGACGAGCCGGAAAGCCTCGTCTCTCTCGTCACAGCGAGTGGGAGATATTACAAAACGGCAGTGAAGCATTGTTTTACATCTCCTTCCCCGCTCCTCCTCCCCCGCATCGCCGTCCCGTTTTCCTCTTTACCCAACCTTCCGTCTCTCGGCGAAGAGAAACGCTCGCGCTTTCGGACGATGCGGAAACGGTGCACGTGCGAGCGTATCGACGTTTCGCCGTCGTCGATGACGACGACGACGGCGGCGGCGGTGGCGGCGGCAGCGGCGGCGACGACGGAGGCGGCAGCAGCGACGGCATCGTCGGCATCGTTGTCGTGATCGTCGTCGTCGTCGACGACGACAACGACGTCGACACAACGAGAGAGAAGCACCCGTCGGTTGCACGGCCGCGCAACTATCGATCTGGGAACCCACGCTTCCGTTCCTCCTCCGTCCTCCTCCGCCGTTACTGCTTCCACCGCCGGCGCTGCCGCCACCACCGCCGCCGCCACCGCCGCCGACGCCACCGCCGCCACCACCACCACCACCACCACTACGGACCTCCCGTAACTGCAGCCGCAGCTGCAGTAGCAACGATGGTAACGACTACGTTGGCGATTTCACGAGTAACTATTTCGTTTTTGTTTATGTTCGCTTTTGTGTTATTTTAAGCGTTTTATTTTTTTGTGCATATTTATTAAATCATAATATTTATTGTGATTTCTTCAAAATTGCGTAATTTCGTGTTTGTCTGTACTATTTAATTCAGGATTAAGTTGGTTAAGTAAAGATAGAATAGCCGATAAATGTTGTATTACTGTTGACATTATCATAGACAGTGACAGGATGAATTTATTCTAATGTATGTGTGTGTGGTTTTTTTTCAAAAAAATTGTGCATTTTGCAATACGTATCTTTTTTGTAAAATAACTGTGTGTTTTTCATATGAATTAACTCATCTCTTATTTTGAAAAATAGCATAAAAATATCAAGTTGCCAAAAAATGAATAATTACGAGATATTTTATACTTCATGTTAAAATGTACTACAATAAAATATATCGTAAGCTATTGATATTTTATTCTACTTGAATATATACTTTTATATGCAAAATAGAAGAATCATGTTATGTGAAAAAAAATCATGCGATTTCATTTTTAAAATGGCAATAAATTTTACATGACCTTGAAAAATCGATTTTTTTAAAAATTGGTTTTACTATTACTTGTCCTCTTGCAGATTATACATTTTTGACTGCAACATTTATTCCGAAAATGCTTATTTCTCAAGATAATCGACTGTAATCAATTAAAATGAAATAGTCTGTATATACACATCTCAACAGTAGAAAAGAAAGAAGTGATAAATTATCGATGCATTTTTGTTGCTGTTACTACAGTTATACTTTATTTTGTAATAGAAATGTGATTATTT